TGTTCCTTTTTTTTTTTTTTTTTTTTTTACTTTACGTTCAGTTACTTCTCTTCTGGTGGTCTCTGCTCATGGGATGGTGCATCTTACGATATACCAATGGGTTATTTTATTCATCTTATATACCAGTTATCAATTCGCCATCCACCTGCTTTCACATGCAAGAGATTCTAAGATACACTGCCTCGATAGGGTCTGCTCTACTTCTTCTTCTGTCTTTCGGTTATAGATTTTTAAAAAATTCTCTTCCTGGCCATGTCCTTCCAGCCTGCATATGTCTTTGCATATTTAATAAAATCATCTTCTGTAGGAGATAAGCCATTAGTCAACTCAAACACACACACACACACACACACACACACACACACACTTTCTCTCTCTCTCACTCTATGGATAGAACAAGTACAAAATAATAATAAAAAAAATCCGTCCAAAGATATCAGATACAAACACATAATCATTAAGGAGATCTAGACCTCCACAATCCCAGGAGGGAATGCTTAAAGAGAAAATAAATCAAGTTGGTTCTGGATAAAATACTGTTCTGTAGCTGGAATAAGAGGGTAGGAAGACATCATTTTCCAGCCCATGGGAATGTCATCTGCAAAGAAAGAGTTAGAAGCACATTCCTTCTTATTCCCTCCTCCTCCAGGAGGCTGTAAGTAAATGAGTTTAGCTAAAGCTTAAATAAAATGGAATGAGAAGGAAAAGAAAAATGTGATGCCATCATAGAGCTTAAAGAGAGGAAGATCTTGTCTGCAGGAGAGGGTTTCCATGACTGTTTTTGTAATGAACTGTGAGGAGGAAGGCCTGGAAGGAGACTAGACAGGAAATTTTTTTATTTAACCAGGTTCGAGTGAAAAAGGTTGAGTGGAAGCAACAAGAAACAGGAAAAAGAAAAAAAAATAGAGAGCTTTTGGAAAGCGTTTCTCTCCTGAGATCAATTCATTTATAAAGTGTTATTTTCCAAATCAAATTTAAATGTCCTTGTCTGATGGCAAGCCCGCGCTGACCTTTGCTTCTTTCTCATGGACCACCAGCAACTGCCTCCTTCCCACCACTAGAAACATCAGCTAATCCTCTTCTTATCATCTTGCTTCTCTCGCCAACTTCTTTATTTCATGTATTATTCAATGTATGCATTATTATGTATGTATTATTATTCAACTTATTATATATTTATATATTATTCAGTTTTATTATTATTCAACTTATTTCAACTTAATCTTTTTATGTATTATTCTTCCGGCTTGAGGGACAATACACTGTGAAAAGCATGACATTTGTTTTTCTCCACAGAAAGGTCACTTCAAACCATCTCTCCTATATATTCATTCCTCAAACATTTTTTTTTATATCTGTAGCCTAGAAGTGCATTAAAAATAGAAACGGTATCATTTTTCCGTTTGGCATGAGGTCTACTAGACTGCAAACATTCAAAATAAAATTAAAGTCAAAACAATACAAGTTTGATTCATGATTAAAATGTAATAGCTAGAAACTCTACCCTTCCTCCTCCCAGATAACTGACATTTTATTTTTTATTCTTTTTTTTTTTTTTTTTGTGAGTGAGTTTTTTTTTGTGGTGACCTTGGTGGGGAAGGGGTCACTTTTTGTCCCCTGCACACTTAGTATATAGCCTGTATGTGCTAGGTACCCATATATCTTCATTGATTAATTGGCTCAAAAAAATTTTAGTCTTGTGGGAAGACAGTGGCGGTCAAGCCCACTTTCTACAATATCATTCTTTATCTGTTCCTAAAGAAGTAGTTTCTGTATGGACGGTGGATCTTCTCATTCTTATTTTTACTGTTATAAGTTCACTTGAGCGTTTGAGGAGAAGACAATTTGTGGTCCCTTTGGAACTTGAAAAGTGAATTTTGATTTGTTTCTACTGTGTTAGCCTCTGTAATTCCTTTGTGTGTTCTGAACACGAAGGTACCAGTATTATTCGGTGCATGCCTCAGGAGAAGCCAATCAGTAAATGGACCTGTAATAATTACCCAGGAAAGCCAAGTGAATTATTTTGAATAAGAAAATGCAGAGGCTTCATTTCTCAAAAATTACATCATCACCCATCTTCTTGAACTGCAGGACAAACACCCTTGATTTATGTGTTCTTTGCAGAAAGTGACTCAGGTGAATCCAGCTATGTTTAATGAGAATTTGGAAACAGTTGTAGTCCTTGCAGTAGCCTTGATCGAACATCCTCAGAAATGACAGAACTAGAATAACGCTCATTGTGCTTCCCAAACTCTGGTCATATTTCATTGTTTTTCAGTCATATACAGTAAATGCTCTATTACTCATACCAGGAGTCTTTTTTTTTTTTTAAGATTTATTTATTTATTTGACAGAATGAGAAAGAGATTGTGCGTGCATACGCAAGTGGGAGAGGGGCAGCAGGTGAGAATCCCCAAACAGACTCCCCGCTGAGCTTGGAGCCCAATGAGGGGTTTGATCTCATGACCCTGAGATCATAACCTGAGCCAAAACTAGGAGTTGGACCCTTAACCAACTGAGCCACCCATGTACCCCTAGAAGTGGAGTCATTAGAAACTGATTACACTGGTTAATTTTTTTTGAGATCTGTATTTAAGCACAGGCAATAGTGCTTAATAGTACTTAATAAGAGTGTCAATAGATTTCTTTTTCTAATAGTTACTTTTAAATTAAAAATTTGGCGTAGAAACATTACTTTATCTGCAAAGTGAGGGATGGAATAAAGCTGCTTTCTGCTCCTAAAGACCTATTTATCTATGATGAGCTTCTGGTGGGCCAAAAGTAGGGTTACCTTCCAAAAATCAGACAGCTCTTAAGTGAAATTAAGTATTATTTTTGGCATTTTGAAGGTATCTTCGCTGAAATGAACTTTTTTGGTCTGTTTTTAAATGGTCTCAACATTTTTTCTCCTTTTTGTAGCAGCATTAATTCCTGTGCTTTCATTAGCAGTTTCTTTTCTTCATTTTTACTTCTCAAGAAAGATATAAGGAGATGGTTCAGCAGTTTTGATAGTTCAGTGATAGCAAGCTAGTCACAGATTCTAGCTACGAAGACACCTGTCATTTTTGTAGACTGTGATGTCTACTGTTTTAACAGTAACATATCCATTCTTTAAGTGCCAATGTGCCAAAAACACATACTTAATTTTATTGGATGCTTTTTACCAGAGCTTATGTAATTTTTCAAATGGTAAATCATAATGATAACTAGTTTCTTATATTAATAGCACCATAAAAACTTTTTTTTTAAATTAATTTATTTATTTGACAGAGAGAGAGATGACAAGTAGGCAGAGAGTCAGGCAAAGAGAAAGAGCGGGGGAAGCAGGCTCCCTGCAGAGCAGAAAGCCCAATGTGGGGCTCGATCCCAGGACCCTGAGATCGTGACCTGAGCCAAAGGCAGAGGCTTAACCCACTGAGCCACCCAGGCACCCACATAAAATCTTTTTTAAAAAACAACACCATGAGGTATTTTTCTCTTGTTAAAAAAAATTAAAAATGAATGTTACATACATGCATATATATTTAATATGATGAAGTTTTAGGTTTTTTAAAAATAACCTCTTTTTTTAGAACTATACATCGAAGTATTTTTAAATGAAATACTATGCTGTCTGCAGTTTGCTTCGAACTCAAACGGGGGAGTGTAGATGGGCTAAAGGTGAAATAAGGTTGGCTATGAATTGGTATGATAATTATGATAGTGTTTTCTACCATAGCAATTGTCATACTGTTTTCTACCTTTTTCTAACTCGGGTGTATCCCCTCCCTAGTTTAAGTTTTATAGAGGCTGATGCTTAATCTAGTTCACCATTGTGTCTCCAGCAACTAGTGCAATGTCTGGCATAAATTAAACCTTCAATAAATATTTATGGAAGGAAGGTATTAATACATCTGTCTTCTCAAGTGGTTTCCGTGATTGCTATCTCCATTTTGGCTAGTTCATCCTCCATGTACTTTTGGGAGGGACGGCTTTGAACTGTAAACGTGTGATCATATTTTCTCATCAATAGCTGTCCCCAATCAGGGCAGGAATTCAGATATTTATACACAAAGTCGATGGCCCCTCACTGTGTGGGTCCTGCCAGCTATTCTCTCCGTCCTTCATCTCTGTACTTCACCTCTCCACAGACTACTTGTACCACTTGCTTATTCTATGCTCCCCTTCTTCAGAACGTTTCCTCTCTCTGGGAGCATCATCCCCATCCACATTTTAAACATGGTGCCACTGAGGCACCTTCCTTAACCTGAGGAGGTTAAGGTGGTCACTGCCCTGTGCAGTGAAGCCAGCAAACACCACACCACAATACCCCTTGCTTTCAGCACGCTTCCTCCCTCTCAACTGTTGACAGCCATTTTCTTCTTATCATTTTCTTCTTCACTGACAGTGAGTATCCCTACAGCAGCTACTTTGTATTTTTTGTAACATCCTTACTTTACCCGGCAAATAGAGGAAGCCAATAAATATTTGCAGAGTGAGCAAATTAAGGAATGTACTTTTTGTTAAACAAGGAATGAGTTTTCCGTAGAAGATGTTAAATCAATGATAGACTTACCAGCTTTCCCAAAGGTTGTTTTCACATTTGCACCAGGTTTTCTTCGTTCTTTTTTCCACAGTGTAGTCAGCAGGTCAAAAGACAAAGCCCTGAATCGTATAAATCTAAGAATGAAATGCTGAGGCAAAAAAGACCTTGATGTGAACCAAGGCGCCAAGAGAAACATGATACTCAGTTTTTCAAAAGTTTAAGATTTATTTAGTAGGAGACATAATTCTGATGATAATTTTAATAAAGTCTTGTGTTAACTTCAGTGGAGATTGTTTCTGACAGAGATTTCAAATCTCCAATGTAACTGGGTCTTTGGCCCTCAGTGCATATTTTGTAGAAGAGCCAAAGTACAGAAATAATGAAATGTTAGAAAATGAGATCCCTTGTTATAGTAACATGAATTTTATAGCTGGAGAAGGTCATAAACTTTGGGTTTTTCCCTCTTCCTTTGCAGATATGTCTTCTCCGACTACTATGAAGAAGCCTGAAAAGCCACTGTTCAGCTCTACATCTCCACAAGATTCTTCCCCAAGATTGAGCACTTTCCCCCAGCACCATCATCCCGGAATCCCTGGAGTTGCACACAGTGGTGAGGAGTTTCAAGCATGGAGTAGAAGCCTCCCTCTTGTTGGCAGAGCTCACTGTCAGGGATGTAGCAAGAGTTATAATTATAGCTGTGGTGGCGATACTTTCTCAGCTGAAAGAGGGAGGGTCCTGAGCCAATCCAGTATTTTTTTCTTACCAGTATATGAGAAAAGATTTCCACGGCATTCAATTAAATGACATCTGTGAATGTATTTTTAATTGCCTTTATTGGAAAGATTACAATCACAAGAAATTAGAAGGTACGGGATACATAGTCATCTTAACTGTAGCTTTAGGATTCGTCCCCATTCTATATATTTGACTAAAGAAAGACAGGATTTCAAGTATGTTGCTGAGTTTGGAGCATTTCCAGAGGCATTAAGATATATAGACACTATTTCCATAGATGTTATTTTCTATACAAAAATCAATATTTAATTACTTATTTAGGAGGGAAGTTAATCACAAAAATAAAAGAGGTTTTTTGACACTTTTTTTATGTGCACAAATAAATGTGGGCTAGTACATTTGATATTATGTCTAATACCTTAATTTACATAGGAAAAAGAATACCAGTATTTCTCATATATACTTGAATGAACAATTAAATTAAATCCCCTTTCAAAAATTTTAAATGAGATAAAATTAATAAATGATACTGTATGCTTTCTATGTATTATTCTTGAGTCGTTGAAGGGAGTATACTGAATTTTTGGTGGAGAAAGTTCCATATATTTTATATATATATACTATATATATATATATAACTTGTAGCAACATTCTTATTGCTTTACATTTATAGATAGGCAATTTCTTATTCTTCAAACAAATTCAATCTGATTTTTAAACCTTTATTCAAAGATATAACTTTAGTTCTAAAAAAGTCCTTGTCTTCAATCTCTAAGTATATGTTGATTAGTATTGTTGCTACTTTAAATATCTTTACTGCTGTCTTTACTGCTGTCACTAAGAAAATTATAAAACTAAGAAGGAATATACAAATCAAATGCAGTATCAAATTTTTATATTTATATTGTTCGTGCTGCTAAAATAGGTCGAAAATATCAGTAACTATTTCATGGATTCTAATGTTGATATTTGAGCAAAATTCACATAGCAGTCCAATCATTCATGTATTATGACACCTGGTTAAAACATTCAGATTTCTGACACTGGGAAAAAATTAAATAGTACACTTTTATATAATGAAACCTAGATAAGCCTTCCACCTTGGTCCTTAACCAGATACTTGCTCAATATGTAATGTATCAGGGCCTGTGGCGAACACCTTGGTCATGAGACAGTTTCTGTCCTTAAAGAGCTCACGGTCCAGCAGGAAGACGAGGGGACCACAACAGCTAGGCATGAAATCTGAATAGGACTAGACACTTGGAAAAGGATTAGATGCCTGCAAAAGGTGTGTTCTCTAAAGTTTAGAGAGTGAGTTCTCCACAAGAAGGAACAAGGCAGGAGGAAGGTTGTTTCAGACAGAGAGAACAGCCTGAATCAGTGTTGGGAAAGGTCATTGCCGCAAGGAACTGCCGTCCACCCAAGGATCCACAAGTATCTCCATGTGGCCTGGGAAGAGAGAGTGGCCAGATGGGAAGCCCACGAAGTGAGGCGGGTCGGGTTCCCTACAACCCTTGAGGACCATGCAAACCTGTGAAGTCGCTAGGCTTTTATCCTGGAAGCAGTGGGGAGCCATTGAAAGATTTTTAGCAGAGAAGTGACATGCTTAAAATGGCATTTTACAAAATTCATTCATGTGAGACTATAAGGGCTGTATCAGAAGGAGCAAGACTGGAGGAAAGGAGGCATTTAGGAAGGCTTTGCAATGACATAGGCAGGAAATACATGTACATACATGTATGCATGTATGAAGTCTTTCATAAAGAAGGGAAACATTTTCTGCCTGTGTTTTGCTTTTCCTATTTTCAAGGACTAGAATGACCTTTATTGATACAAAGTAGCTGTTTTTTTACTTTCAGTTTGAAATACTACATTCTGCTAGCTTCCATCGAGCCAGCCACAGTTTCTGTGAGCACATACGAGGGAGCCCAGAGCCTAAGCCCTGACTTGATATGTGCTGGCTCCCCTGAACAAAGATCTCTTCCCCAACTACACTGATCTCAAAGCCCAGAGCGCCCAAGATGGAGCTGTGTGTATATATCCTTCAAGGGCTTGTGTAGATGTGGGTGAAGATCATGGTTACATGGTCTTTAACCATGGTCTTCATGTAGCTGAGATTAAGGGCACTTCAAGACCAAGTAAAAAAGATGCTCAATTTAACTTAGGTATTTCCATCTCCTTAAATTAAACTTTCAGATGTGGCTGCTACTTCAACAAAGTAGTATGTCAGAAAGAAGTTCCATTTGAAGAAATATACAATTGTTCTCTGAAATGCATCACTTTGATGAAGGATGCATACACTTCAGTGTGTGGAAGGATCACACAAGGCATTTGTTCAAATTGTACTTTCTGGTGCCTTACCCCTGGAGGGCCTCGAGATTCAGTAGGTTTGTGGTTAGGCCCAGGAATCTGCATTGTAACAACAGTCCAGAAGATTCTGAGTCACCCGGACATTCAGGAAGCAAAGTTGTGAACATAAAATTGAATTTATGACTCTTTGTTGAGATATATTCTTAATTTCTCATGTTTTCTGAAAAAAAATTTTTTTGGGGAAGATAAGTAATGTCCCTTTAAAAGTATGTGTATATATATATATACATATATATGTGTGTGTGTGTGTGTGTGTGTGTATATATATATATATATATATATATGATTACAAAGTTGGAGATAAGTTAGTCCAGATGATTTTCATTAATAGGTCATGGAAAGAATTTATTTTTCATATTGTTTGCTAAGTTGTTTCATAAATCACTAAACATTTATCATATGTAATTTCCTATGATTTGGCTCAAAACATTAAATAGAAACAGACATTTAATCTTCACTTCTACATATATTCGTTGGTACTCTTAAATTGTACTTATGTGGTTATTTTCCTCAACATTATAGAGATAATGATCATGCAATTATATTCTTTCCCATTTTCAAACTTAAGAATTATATTTCAAATATATGACCAAATAAATTATGGTCATACTGATGCTGAAAAATTACAGCACAATTAAACATCATCTACATCGCATATGTTTTATATATTATTTCCCTTTATAAAATATGTGATTTATTGGTAAGTTAATATGAGTACAGGAACGTTTAAATTCACATTTCTGGAGGTTTTATTCTTAGTCTTATCTTAATAACATCTTTTAAGCTACATGTAATAAAAGTTAGAGTAGGAAGAAAAAATAGTTACAGAATAGAGTTCTTTTGGTTTTGAAAGGAACAAATTCATTAGGAAAAAGGTCTCAGGCCCTATGATCAGATGTTCATAAGCATTTGTCCAATGATCAGACAATTATTCAGCACATTATTGTTTCCTAATTATTGGCTTCTCTTTTAACCCACCCCCCGCTAGGACATATAGGGAAAATATTTATTTAAAATCAGAGTCCACTTTTGTTTTGAATTTCGGTAGAGAGTCTGTGTGTGCCCCTGCCTTTTAATTAATTCTGTGAGTTTGTCTGGACTTAAGACACAAAGACTTGCTGATCAAAGATTGTATTCTGATGGGAAATGACTGCTTAAAGGAACGTTTTTATGAAATATTGGCTTCCCCCATAAAAGAGAAGCTTCCTTGGGCTCAGCGTTCATAGGACCGGGAAGCCAGATTGCTCGTTCCCCAGAGTGGGGTCGGGGCTGTGCGTTCTTACCGCCGGCGGGCAGCAGCCGGCGGGGACCAGCGAGCGGGTGGGTCCCGGGGAAGCAGGGACTAGCCATCCGCGTGCCGGGGTGGGGGGCGGGCGCTGCGGGGCGGGCGCCGCGGCTGACCTCAGTCTCCCCTTTTGTGTCCCGTGCAGTCATCTCCACTCGAACTCCACCGCCACCCTCACCGCTGCCATTTCCAACACAAGCTATTCTTCCGCCAGCCCCATCGAGCTACTTTTCTCATCCAACAATCAGATATCCTCCCCACCTGAATCCTCAGGATACTCTGAAGAACTATGTACCTTCTTATGACCCATCCAGTCCGCAAACCAGCCAGGTAAAAACGCGAGAGCGAATAAGAGGGCCTAAGGGAGATGGAACAGGTCTGACTCTCAGACATGAAGCTTATTCAGACGGTGTGTCTGGCAGAACATCGAGCTTTTGAAAGCCATCTTCAGGAAGGTTCTGGGTGACTCAGTAAGTTTTTATTTAAAGGTGGCTGAATGACAGGTAGGAAGTGTCTTGCCCCAAAGGGGCACATTTGTGAAGATGTCTGTGGTTTGACGTTTTTGAATTTTCATTGACTGCAAAGAAAGTTTATGCAGAAAGTACATTGACGAAAAAGCTCAGAGCTGGTGTTCACACCTCTGAAATACCGGGTTTAGCACAGACACAGAGTGCTTATTTCAGGCAGGAGCAAGGTATGCGCTAAAATAAACACACACAAAAGAACTTACAGTCGTATTTAGAGGCCAACTATTAGCTATTAAAATCAGCTTTGGTAATGTAAACATTGTCAGTGTTTGATGACTACTTGAATATTCTTTGCACAGACATGACTACATTTAACAATGAATGACATTACCAGAAGTGTCTTTTCTTTTTTTCTTTCTTTCTTTCTTTCTTTCTCTCTCTCTCTCTCTCTCTCTCTCTCTTATTTATTTATTTATTTAAATACCGTGGAGTGGTTTTAGGGACTTTTATTGTGTAAGTGTAGTGACTCATATCCCTTTCTCACTCCTTAAAAGTGTGGCTTCTTCTATGGAGAGCTCACTTAATAGTGATTTGATACAAGAGCACTTTTCATGATCAAATAGATAGGCTTTGTGACAGAGCTGGCACAAACTGTAATATCCAAAGTCTGTCATGTAGTTTTGATCTTCAGGTCTGGTATGTGGCATTGCTGCTTTACCTTCAAGACTCCTGCCCACTCCTCACTATACCTTTTAATGCTCTGAGAGATTGTCATAAGCATTCTGTCTTTAATACCGTTCAGTTATCAAATGCCAGTGAATAGTATGTGCATATTAATTTAGAATTAACAAAGAAAAGATCTGAAGAAATCAATTTTGGTCATAATTGTTAGAATGAAGCAAAACGGTCTTTTTCTGGAAAGTTTTATTTTTGAGTAACAACATAGCCAACACCATTTGGGTTGCTTAAAAAATTACCTGTACTTTTAGTTCTGTTGATGAATAATACTAAACTGAAGACACCATTCTTGAGTTGTGACTTTGTAGTTAAGCCATTTGTATTTTAGAAGAAAAGGTCCAAACGGTATAGCACTTTTGATGACTATAATAAGAATTTTTAAGTAAAAAAGTGGGATCTTAGTATATCAGTTGAGAAATAAAATTTGCTGTCAGACCCTGGATTCAAGAGTCTTAGCTCCACAGAGCATTTTGCTAGACTCAGCTGGGAACAGTGCGCACAAGGTCTGATTTTAATTTGAGTAGAATTTCCATGAATAACAAAGTCTAATTAAGACATCCATTAAAAGTCCTTAACGTTAATTCAGTGTGGAAAATCTTAGAGTTCCATTGGATTTTTTTTTAACTGATGTCTTAATTAGGCACTGTTAGGGGAAAAATTATGCAAATTAAAATCAGGCCCTTAGTGTTACGCATTTCTTTAATTATTCAGTGCTTGTTTTAGGTATATTTCCATTTCTTTATAAGTTAAGAGGGCATATTAGGTGATAATCTGCCTTATTGTTCTGCTTTTCTTCCTATTTTTAAGGTAAAGATTGAGATTCTGAGAGAAGCATCTTACTTTCATCTAAATAAAAAAAAAAAAAAATCCCCTTTCAGGATTTTGTATAATAGGAGCGACTACGTACTAGGCAGGGTGATCCTTTCCCAGTGCGATTCAACTTTATCTTCAGATAAAATGTCTCTCTTTTCCTTTCTATGCTATGGAAGTTCATCTAACAGCCTTAAAAGAGAAGCTTTATAGTATAGCTTCATCTGAACCAGTAGAAAGCCCAAGAGGAATAACCCTTCCATTCTTCCGGACCCTGAATTCCAGAAAATTTGTCTGTTGGGCTTGGGACCGACTTGTTTCTTTGTCAGTTTTATTCTTTTTAAATGAGAGAAATGTCTGTTGGTTCGTGTCAATGCCATTCCAGTAGACAAAGCTCGCAGAATGAGCGAGGTCATATCAGGTCCTGGGGCAGCATTTTCTTGGCATTATTGTCGTTCTTCTGTCCTGTGTTCTCAGGTAGGTCCTATGGAACTGTTTCGGTGAACACAGTATAGAGAAATGCTTTTTACTACCGAATGTACCACCAATGATAAAACAAGATCGCTCTTCTTTCTTGAGAAAGATACATACAACGGTCTTTTGCAGCATTCTGATCACCAGAATCCGATGGTCTGCTTTAGAAAAAACTACTTTTTCTACTTGAAAGGAAAAGGCATCTTTCTAGTAAACTGCAGAATAGTTTTTATGGGCACATCATAACTCCTTTGATTTTTAACTCCCAACTCAAAACCAGTTAATTTGCATTTCAAAAGAGGACTCCTGACATTTACCTGTTTAGCTCTAAGCCGGGGAGAGGGGGCGGGGGTTGCTGAGGGCTTGTTCACCTGTGGCCCACTATCCCTTCCCAAATTTCCTCCAGCCCTGTACTGATTTCGATTACCAAGTCTAGCCACTGAGATGCCTCATCCTCCCCACAGCAATTTGGAGATTAATTGCATTGCTGCTGCACCGATTAGCGTGAGACAGCCATGCTATTCAGTGGATTATTTTAAATAAAATTAGTCTAAAGATACAACTCTCATAGGTTTCCGTAGGGGGAAGCTCTGGTCAATTTTCCTGACATAAAGTTAAATACTTAAAATTACTCATGATGAATAGGCAGGATATTCAAGAAGTCCATTTTCTTTATAGAATAAGTAATGTGGCCTCTGAGGAACCCAACCGAAGACTTAGTTCATGTCTGTAAGTTATAGTATTTAAGTGTTATTAGCTGTTCATCTTTTTGTTTAAAGAAATGACTCCTGGTAATTTAAGGACAGGTACTTAGATACATATTCTGCTTCATTGCATTCTTTGCCTTTAACAGTACTGACTAGATAGGCTAAATGTTTATGGAGAATACTCTCATGGCGAGTTGGGATAAGCACCATACAGTGGAGAAGTCCAACAGGAAGGGTGATCAAAAATAGTGTTCTCTGTCTAGAAAAAAGCATTCCAGTATTTTTTTTTTTTTCCAAGCAGTGTACCCTTTGGATTTTGTCTTCTACCACAGACACTATTTTCATATGTGGGGCTAAAACTCGGATATTAATATCTTTTCTGTCATTGCCCTGGGGATTCTCTCAGTTGCTCCTCACAAGTGTCAACAATGTTTTGTGTAACTCTCCATGCCCGGCCATGGGGGAGGAACTTAAGTAACAAAGTATATTTGATTGCCCCTCTGCTTTACTTCAGCACATTTTAATTGACTTTGGAAATCTTTTATTTGTAGCTGTAAGGTCAGACCAAGTCCATCATTGGCTATCATTGTGTGGATCTGAAATTTTAAATGCTTTAAATATCATTCTATCTGCTCGTCTGAGTAATCAGCAAAAGGGAAGTAGAGATCCTGGAATTTAAACGGTTTGGTATGTGTGTCCCTGCATCCTTGCGTATGACGGAAGACTAGAGTTTCTGAATGCAGATTGACTAGAAATGAGGGAAACCATTGAGTTTGATGTGTTCGACTCCTTGATACCCCATCTTCTTTGTGTCAGTGACAGCATCATTGGGTGACAATTGTGTTCTGAAAGCCCAAACTGACTCACTGTAGAAAACGAAGAGCAGAGAAGAACGAGGCATGGCTCAAATTCTCCCTAGGTCAGGAAGAACTTACATTGTTGTCTTGAGCTGAGCATGTAAGTCTCCCCTTGAGTCTTCTGTGCTACCCAACAAAAGAATCAGTTCTGTCTGACTCTCGGGGGGGTTGTAAAGACAAACTCACCCATGCAAAGTGTTTCGAAGGTGAAGACTTTCTTTGAAATGCTGCTGCTTCTTTTTACCACAAACCGCTGGTTGGTCTCTGTGACTCAGACTTGAGAGGGCTTGGTGGCGTTCCCAGCAAGGACGCAGGGTTCCCGCGTCCAAGTGCGCTGAGTGGAGCTGTTGGACGAGACGACTGCCTTTTGGATTGTTTCACCGGGCATTCTGTTTTTGTTTTGTAGCCTAACAGCAGTGGTCAAGTGGTAGGGAAAGTGCCTGGCCATTTCACACCTGTCTTGGCACCCTCTCCCCATCCCAGTGCAGTGCGACCTGTGACCCTGACCATGACAGATACTAAACCCATCACTACATCCACTGAAGGTGAGGCAGCTTCACCTACAGCAACCAGTAAGTATTTCTGTAGGAAATGAGAAATGTCCATCAAAGGCACCATTGGATACCTGATCCAAGGTGGAGAACAGGACAACTTTTTGGACGCGATGGAGATTTCTCATTTATGTGGAACTAGCAGGCATGTGTGTGGCCTGGCTATCACAAGCTCTCTCTTATCAAATTTCAGTCCATATATCATATTTGAAAAGAGAGAAGCTTATTCGTTTGAATAAACAGCTCTAACAAAAATGACAAGTCATGCCTGCTCGTTCAAGGTATACATTGAAAAAGACACCGAATAACATAATGTAGTGTTTGAGGTTTCTCGATCACCCAGAGAGAGAGAGCAGATCATTGTTACTTATTGGAGCATTCTTATAGAAATCAGTGTCCTTCACAAGGCAGATTGAATCCATGCCTCTGGAAGATAATTGCACGTTTATATTACCGTAGGTTATGTCACTGCAAAAACCCAGTTAACACGATATTGGGTGCGAATGAGGACATTTGGAAGCTGAGTATTAGGTACATGTAAGCTACCTACACTGTCATTGTGACTTTTTTTGTTTTTTTGTTTGTTTTGTTTATCATGGTACATCAGGTACTATGCTTTTTAACACGGCCATAACATTTTAAATGTCAGAGATTTAGCCAGTGAACTTGACATAGAACATACCAATAAACCAATGAATCCTTTGCTGCTTCATACAAAATACTCATCGATACAAAGAAAATTATTACCCAGTTTTTCGATTGGCTTCGTTCAAACTAACAGACTTCCTAGAACTAATACAGTGGAATAGGAGGAATTAGCCCACTCCTTGTCAATTATGCTTTCCATATCTGAAATTCAGAGGTGTCATTTTCTTTCCTAGAACAAAAAAAAATTGACATGCTCTGTTCTAAGTAAAATTACAGAAACCCCACTGGCTCTCTCTTTCTCAGGTTTTGGAAAGATGTTTTCTTTTTTTTTTTTTTTTTTTTTGGTGGGGGGGTGGGTTCTGAAAACCTAGGAAGGAACACTACAAGAAAAAAGGACAATAGTTTGAGGGTGCAGTGAATTCAGCATTTCTTTCTCAAAATTCTTGAGACCCCATAGCCTAATCAGTCCAGGTAGACTTGTAATTCCCATCAATAATCATTAATTTTTCTAACTGGTCTGTTGATAGAGGGTCCAGTGAACACTTCCCTGAATGCACAGTCAAGGAAGACTAAAAATTCTTTTGTTCTAAAGATTAGCGATGTACAGTACAGCCACTCAAATGCTTTTAAAAGTGGATGTGTTGGCATCTTTGAGCAAAGTCAGCAATTTAAATTAAGGCAAATAGAAACAAAGATTTTTTTTTTTTTAAGTTTTTGAAAGACTGTCAAAGGATAAATGATCCAAACCAAGTTCTAGAAACTTCAGGTACCTACCCTTCTAGTGACATTAATAGATGACATTCAAGGGCAGATCAGACCCAAATGATCACAGCTCACTATGGGAGTGCTGTCAGCCTGCTTGCTGATGCATTATTCTTGTACTCACCTACAGGTTGGTCAAAAAGGGATCTGATTTGACTAATAAAATTGCAAAATATTCAGAAGGGATATATTGGTTGTGTGAAGATGGCTGTATCAGCCCATTTTCCACTCCTGCTTAAAAGAAATATAGTTTTTTTTTCTTTCCTCTACACAGACTTGTAGCTCTAGCTTTCGAGACAGTGCTAATAATGAAAAATGGGTCATTGAACTGATAAGTCAATAAAATTAAAGAAAACACATAGATCAGGGAAACCTCTTTCTCATGGCTGAGAAGAGAAAAATACTGCAAGCTTGTTGCGACTCTCTTAGGGCGAGGCCTTTCTCCAGCTGTCCATGCTGTCCATTGAATCCTAGAAGCCTGGACATTGAGTGGGGGCCCCTGGCTCTTCCGGCTGTCCTTGGATGGGCCCTTTATTCAGAAGTAATTAATAATGAATTGTGAGCATCTTCACTGTTTTAAAAAGTTAACCTACCAAAACCCTCAATGGATCTAATTCTGCAACCCTTCAAATGAACACGGCAGAATGAATATATTTGGTTAAAAAAAACCCCAAAACCTTTTAAAGGTTAATGTCTGGATTTCTTATCAATCTGATAGTGTTAAACCAAACATTTTAGCTTCCTTCAGACCTGTAGATGTAACATGAGTGGTGAAAATGTAGTGCTTCTGTTTATTCCAGCACGGGGCAAGGAGAATGCTTTAGTGCTGGGAACTCCTTTCCTTGTGAAAACAAATCTTTAGGAATAGGGAGACGTTTTCTTTGGAAAATTCACTGTGTACCAAAAAGCATCTCAACAAAAAGTACTTGCAGGGTGAGACTAAATAACTTTAAGAATATTCACCATTGGTCCTTAGTGCCTGGTGGCCAAGTATTTCAAAGGTGTCACCACCCCTTCCCTGGACCAGTAACAAGAAATTGACTTTTTGTGCTTATGGAAAAGAAAGAATTTTTTTTCAAAAACATTTCTATCAAATCTAAGGTCATTTTCACACTAAATGAAATACTGACTTAATTCACTCTATATGATATAATAAGTAGAGAGGCTCCTCCCTCATGTTAGGAATATTAGATTTTCTCTTTAGTAAGACATGTTTCACATCTGCTAAAGCACATCTGCTAAAATCCCATTCATTACAAGCTTTCACTTTTTCCCAATAGACTTTCAGTCTTACACTTAGAATCACAGACTATCATTGATGCTCCCATTATCAGACAACTACTATCTGGTGAAACAGGACATGTAGGAAAAGGACCCTTCTACTTAGCCAGTCCTTGGTTCTCCTGCCGGACTGTACCAGAGCATATAAGCGTGGGATGCCCACACCAGAGGCTGGGATGTGGTTAACTGGACAGATTTTTGGGGAGGGAAGTAAACAGGTTGAGTTGAGGTCAACTGCCATTTCTTTAATGTCACTTGGTGTTCACTCAGATGAAAGAATAGAGAAATAGAGACACTTTTTTTTTTTTTTTTTTTGGTTGCCTGTCCCACGTCCTGGGTTTTCTTTTACATGGACAGGGTGTTCATTCTGATAGTTCACAATTTTTATCTTTGTTTTTGTTCTTCCTTAATCAGCCTACACAGCCTCAGGCACATCTCAAGCCAATCGATATGTGGGACTAAGCCCAAGAGACCCATCCTTCCTACATCAGCAACAGGTGGGCAAGCTTCCCCCAGGTGTGACGGTGTAGCACGCTTTCGCATTGGTGCTCTCTCCATGCTGCCTCTCAGATCTGGACTCAGAACGGGGCTCCCGGCGCTTCTGGGAAAGAAACTGATCATTTCATTTTCCAGAATATTTTCTCATTTATCCTTTGTTTCTTGCCTCTCTAAATAGGCTTGCTCAAATTGGCTCAAGACCTTTTCCATCTCTGTGACCTCTATCCATAACATCCATGAGTAAACTGGGTCTCAGCCAGGGTATTTTCCTCAGTCTCATTGGCTATTGAGAACTTACTAGCCTTTAGCTTCCGAAGACAAAAAAAATCGAAAACTGATTAAAAAGCCCATTAGGGTAGAAGCAGTACACAATTTGTGTTTTTTGAGCTCTTTCATATTTTCCAGATGTTTTACTCCTCATTTTGGACTTTTAGTCCAAGAGGATGAGTTATGAAGCTAAAATCTCGGGCGACACATCATTCCTGTTTTAATAGGTTTAAATTGGTTTACTGATTTCAGATGTGATAAAACACTTTTTTTTGTTCTGCTTTCTTACATCATTTATGTTTCAAGTAGCATTTTAAATTTCACATCTCATTAATGCTGTAAATTTAATGCAAATGAAGTGTTTACCCAAACTGTGAAAATATACAGCCAGGATTAATGGTGGCTTATAAACAAATTAGCCACAGTCAAAAGCATGGAACATACCAATACAGAAATCCCACGATTCTAGTTAAGGGATAACAGAAATAATTCTAAACACTTCAGAATTTAAATATATTTTATGATGCATACGTTTGCTGCTCTCAAACTCTGATAGCAGAGTGGTTCGAAATAAACAGCGTGCAAAATATTAAGTAGGGAAAAGTAGACTATGAATAAGAAAGAGCTGGTATAACTAACTGGCTCTTCGTTCGTAAGATCTATGGGCTTATGTCGCATCTGTCTGTTTTTACGTACATGGTCAGCCTGCGCAGGGACTCATCCCTGCTTCTTTTGTCCTGGACTTGCCCACCTAGCTTGTGTTGGGTCTTTCTTAGCCGTGCCTCGCCCGGAATTCCCAAGTCCTGCCCAGTTGCGGACCAAGGTAGCAAACCATGTAGATCAAAGGTCACCACATGTAGAGTTCAGAGAAAAATCCTAAAGATGATAGCTTATTCAAGATACTTGAGGCTGTGCCAGAGTTTTAAAAAGCAAAACAAAACAAAAGAGTGAGAACTAACTGAAAACATCTGTACACAGTTACGAAAAATACCAAATAATAATTAGTGGTTTTGCCCACCATTGGCTTTTCAACATAATTCTCTGGAATGTTGCTTTTTTTCACCTCTAAAATTGCTATAATATGAAATGTGTTATAATTACTATAATATGGTTCTATTTGACAAATGTATATGTTCACTGTATTTTCTAAAAACATATGTAGGATTTATAGGTTCAGAGGCTTGCTCTTTTAAAAATCATTCCACATATTTTCAGAAATATTTTTACCATGGGATTTGCATTATTCTTTATGACACATCTCTACTTTCTAGTTAATTTTTAATTCATAGACACATGCCTCCATTATTTAAACCTTTAGCACCAAAAACATTAAGATTATAACCAGTTTCATGTATTTAGAAGCAGTCTTCCCATCCCCCCGTGCTAACCCATGGCAGCTTTAATATTCTTTTCATATCTGTCATTTATGACTCACGTTAGAGGCTCAGGGAATTATGAACACAAAAGTTCATCGTTCAGAAGTTACTTCTTTCACTTATCCCAAGGACAGATCAAGAAAACTTAGCAAGCCTCAGGAAAGTGTGAGTCTTCAGGTAGATGGAGGTCGGAGCACATTTTAATTGGGAAAAAGAAATACATACACACACACACACACACACACACACACACGTATACATACATAAATATTCTGGAGCTACAGACTTTTCTCATCCAAGACCACCGCTTCTTGTTTAAGTGGACAATGTCAAGTGAAGACCCGTTAACAATGTAAATAATATTTGTTTGGTCAAATGCAGTTGACATTTATGGAACATACTGTTATTTACCAGGCAAATGGATAATTTGCCCTGCGCACGATGGAAGACTTAGTGCTACTTTTTGAAATGAAGAAGCTCAATATGCCAAAGTTATAATGAGCTACAGTTTTGAGGCAGGCAGAAAACATATGCGTGCATCTCATACTGTACATGAATATTACTGAAGTAAGGTTCCAGTTAAAAGATGATTACTTTTATGCTTCTAAATTTTAAAAGAACCATTGAGCTGAAGTTTTGGGCTTACTATCCAGGAACAGAGGGACAGGAATAGTTTAAGTGACTTCAGCAGAGTAAAGGTTATGCTTTCCCACAGCAGAAATGAGATTGATTTACTGTGTCCTTTCATTACTTTACAAAGATTTAAAAGAGACCACTCTTGTAACAGCAGGTTCTAAATGCATTTGGTTTAAAGCACTCAGTGATGAATGAAAAGGAAAATCAAGGGGTACATGAAATAAAGGTAATCAATCATTTTATATTAGCTAGGAGAAATTCAAAATTAGAAAGGCAATGGATTTAGTCTGAGAGAGTTCTTTTAAACATTCCCCATAGCCTTTAATATACATGACCCTTTAAGAATAAATATTGTCGCCAGGTACATTCTTCAGTTTATTGGCGGCTGCTTTATAAAGGTTTATCCTTTTAGGTTATGAAAAGTATTGATGTGCAATGTGCAGTGCTATTTTTTCTCAGAAAAGAACTTTAATATAGCCTACATAAATTAGGGTTAACGATAAATTTAAAATTGTTGAATCATTCTATCTTAATAATAATCTTTCCACAAGATGACAATAAAGTAGACCTTTCAAAATAGTCACTTCTAATACACAAGGATACTGGCCTTCTTTGATTGAGATGGCCAATGTTAACATTAACCCTATGTTCCACTTGTAAGAGTAATATGTCCGCATTGGCAAATTTGAATCCTAAAAGTATATGCTTTTATGCCCATCAACTTGGTACACATACAGCTGTTATTAGTAATTATACCTCTCTGTGCTCCTTGATAATGGTTATTACTGATTCTTATCGGTCATTAACTGACTTGAAATACTAGATTTTTTCTGACACAGGAATTTCACCTGTCACTGCAACTATGATATCTCGTTTGAATCTAAAAAATAAAAAAATCCATAATCATGAAGAATAGTTCATAAAGATTCATGTAAACCTGTTGATAATTTGCCATTAAAAACAAACCTCTCTAACTGGTCATGATAATCAACTCATGCCGGCTGATCAGGACTTGTAATTTTTCCTTTATCCTCTACTACAATCTTGTGTGTTGTGTGGTTCAAGGTCTAGAACTAGACTGTCTGTGGGGTGATTGGCTTAGTTCATGCACTCACTGTTGGCCTGGGGAGATCTTAAAAGCAGATATCAGTTGGAACTCCATATTCTTCTTTAACTTTCCTGTTGGAAGATGGTGTGGTGGCTTGAGGAACTCCGGGTCCTGCTTTGGGAAACTGAACTCTGTAGTCTTTCCTGACTAAAAAAGAAATGTCTTTTTTATGATTCGGAACTTTTCACAAATGTCAAAGACCTCCTCTCTGAGTTAACCTCGCAGAAGTTTAGCAGAACGCAGTGTTTTCCTTTCCTCGTAGTGCACGAGGGCCCTGTGCACGTGCACCACGCTAGGCAAGGGGGGAGGTACACGTCCCAAGTTTTGTCTCTCTGAGAAAATGGGAGCTCTGTAGCAGAGTCTTGGATGTTGCTCTGTATTTGAAAATACAGACATTATTCCGTAATTCAGTCTACCTATTTTAGCATAAATGGCGAATATGAGACAACTTACATGAATTAGCACCAGTTCCTTATCTGGTCAACCTCACCACAAATTTATGAAGTCTCAGGCCTTCTTTCTTTGCTCTCGTAGAAAGTTGCATGATCAAAGAGGGTCTAGTTATGTTTATTTTCACCCTTCTATTTGAGTGTAAGGTTGTAATAAAAATATAAATCTTTACTATTATACATCAGCATAAAATATTAAAAAAATCTTACTGCAAGTTGGAAGTAAAAGTTTGTAGCTAAGAAGCTTCTCGTTTGGAAATAGAAGATTACTATTCAAACCAACTATTGAAAAGCATATAAACTTTTGATACAGATTTGAGATTTCGATAAAATAAATGGGAGGTCCCTCTTGCCTTTCCAAAGGGAGACAACAAAGTCAAGTAAGCTCTAGTATGTAAGACGTAAGGCTTATTTTCATCATCTCTCAAAATTATAATCTCCTGACTATATATAGTACTTACTGTTAGCTCTAATGAATGCACGGCCTGATCAGCTCAGGTCCTTGCATCACGTACACACACAACTGCATGGGTTTTATCGGTGCTTGAGCTTCAGCATGTTACGTCTCTTGCATGACTACTTAATGCTATTATTTCAATTTCAATTACTGGGCCACCTTATATTAAAATATTTTCAACACATTCCTTGATACAGTTTCACAACTCAAATTTGGAGGTACTTTTCGTTATAGTGGACATGTCTGTTACACCAGATGGCCTTCCTAAGACATTGCCTCTGTAGGATTTTTTATTTATATATATATAAATTTATATATTAATTTATAATTAATTGAAATTTATTTACGATGTTTGTCCTGGCAAATGGCAAAGCCAAAGCTAGGTACATTGAGACCACTGGGAAGAGGTAGTCTTTTATTAGAGGCAAGCAATTGAAAGGACACAAGTGGACGATCAACAAGCCCTTCAATAAAGTCAGGAAGCAGCCTATCAACACTCCGGCTGTTCTTATTGTGTCTGTTATCATAATTGACAGCTTGACGTAAAACCCTATCACATGACTTCTGGGTAGGTATGTAAATGGATAAGAGGTCACTCTTCACATATGCTAGCTGGAGAGGAAACACATTTAAAGGAAGTTTCAGTCAAAATAACGGCATGCAAATGTTTAGCTTTTTGGCTAGTTCTTAAGTTTAAAAAAAAACC